ATAAAAAATCAAACATGGGAGATTGTTGATTTTCCTCAAGGCGAGGCTTGTTGAAAAAGGATATACATAAACCTATGGGATAGATTATCTGGAGACTGGAGACCTTTGCTCCTATGGCCAAAACGAGTCCAATTCGAATTCTCTTGTCTCTAGTGACCACCTATTCTTGGTCACTCTTCCAACTAAATGTAAAGAATGCTTTCCTCATTAGAGATCTGCAAGTGTATATGGACAATGAAGTGGATGGAGGAAAGGTGTACAACTTAAAGAAGTCTTTGTATGGCCTAAAGCAGTTACCAAGAACATGGTTTGAAAAATTAGGGGAGCATTGATTCGCTATGGATACACAGACTTAGTTAGATCATACATTTTTTGTAAGGTAAGGTTCAAAATATCGATAAAGGGTAGGGCGTATCGGCCTGTACTATTTTTTATGTTTTTTTTTTATTTTCTTCAAAACTGGTTCAGAGGGGCAGGTTTAAGGCCAGTCTACCCCCTAAACCACTTGCTGACCTGAAACACCCCCTGTAGGGACGTACCGGGAAGGCTCTGATATGATACGTATCAGCTGATACGTGACAAAATTTTGATCCTTGGTGTAAGGCTGAGGATGTAAAGTGGTCTTTAGTCTGAGGTCTGAGGAATTGACTGAACCAAAAACGGGAAGAAATGGGAAATAAGCAAGTGGTCAGACCCCGAAGGGCTGCCTACATACCCTTTAGTGAGGGATCAGGCCATTGTAGTTTGTCAATGCTAGAATTCTAGCGAGAAAAGGAGGAAAATGGTGGATGGCTGAAATGGAGAAAAGGTTGAATGAGAGAATGGGAATGGACTGTAATCAAAGTGATGGTGATGGGTAAGAATGGTTTCAAGGCCCATATTTATAGTTTTTGGGTGCACATTCCAAGAGCTTTTTAAATTTCTGTTTTTCCTATTTTACCCTTATATTCCAGAATGTTCTTTACACATTTGAATCATGTGGCTAAATATCCTTCTAGAATTATCTTATTAATTGGTATTTACAATTTTACCCTTTTGTCGCATGTTTATTTCCTTGATTTATTTCTATAATATTTATTAATTGTGCTGAAATATTCAACACTTATATTTAATGGGCCAAATTGACCCAGATTTGGTTGGTCTTGTCGTAGTCATCGCTTCACGTTGCTACCCAAGTCGATCCCCTTACGCTTTGTAAAGAGAAGAGGATCGCTTGTGACAGTGCCAATAGTATACATTGTTAATATTATAGTTATAGGAAATGATTTGAGTGAGATTAATGCCTTGAATAAATCCTTACAATAGGAGCTTGAGATCAAGGACCATGGTGAGCTAAAGTACTTTCTAGGTATAGAGCTGGCAAGGTCCAAAAATGGGATCTTCATTTCCTAGAGGCATTATGTACTGGAATTTTTTTTTTTTTTGATTGGAAATGGTAACTTCATTAATATAACTTAAGAATAACTTTCCAGATTTAAGTACAACTGTCAACCCCTAAGTAGGTGTTCAGCCCCCAGTAATGTTTCTTACAAAACTGCCCAGAACATTCTCTCCCTCACAGTCCCTTGTTTAGCCAACGTGTCAGCTAAACCATTAGCTGATCTCCTTGTCCATTTGAAGCATGCACCAATCCCCCTTGTTATGTTGAGGATTTCCCTTATGGGCTGTCTATAAATTCAGAATCCCAACTTACTAGATTTCCCTTATGTACTGGATTTGTTACAGGAGGCTAGAAAACTTGGAGTCCAACCAACTAATACACCTTTTGACCAGAACCACACGATTAATGCTTCAGATAGTGAGCTAGTAAAGGATGTAGGGAGGTATCAAAGGTTGGTGGGCTACCTATTGTATTTGTGCATGACACGTCTAAATATCTCTTATGTTGTCTGTGTTGTAAGCTAGTATGCATGCTCCTCAGATTCAACACTTGGCAGTTGTTGACAGGACTCTTGTCTACCTAAAGAAACATCCAGGCAGAAGAATACTGTTTACTGATCATAGGAACATGGAAGATAGAGGCCTATACAGATGCAAATTGGGCAGGGTGCTTAGATGATAGGAGGTTTACATCAGGATTCTGCACTTTTGTTGGGGGTAACATGGTTTCATGGAAAAGTAAAAAACAATCAACTGTGGCCAAGTCAAGTGCAAAAGCTGAATACAGCTCTATGGCTTATGGTATCTCAGAGCTTCTTTGGATTCAGTCTTTGTTGGATGAGCTTGGAGTTGTTACAAAGGAACCTATGATATTGTATTGTGATAATCAAGCCGCAATCAACATCACCCACAATTCAGTTCAGCATGATAGAACGAAGCATATCAAGGTAGACAAACATTTTATAAGAAAGAGGATGACATCAAGAGAAGTATGCCTACCATATGTTTCACCTGACATACAGCTAGTTGATGTCGTCACCAAGGGAGCTACAAAAAGATACCTTGAATATGATCTACACAAGTTGGGAATTGTGACATTTATTCCCAACCTGAGGGGGAGTGTTAAGGATTTGCTATCATTTATTTTCTTGTTAATTAGTTTCTGTTATTGGGCCCAAGGTCCACTAGTTTAGTGCTAGTTTAAGTTGATGTTTATGTGTGTTGACAGTAGCTGCCTTATTAAGGGCATATTTGGCATTGTACATCTTTTATTTCTTAAGTATAAAAGTTAATGGGAGAGGCAGTTAGATCATTATTGGCTTCTCTTCCCTTTCTCTCATCTTCTTCTCCTTCTCTCAAGAACTCTTCCTTCTACATTTTCTCTCCCTTTTTCCTTTCCTTTTGTTTTTGTTATTTGCTACTGTACTAACATGGATTTCAACTTAGAAAAGTGTAAATGCAGGTATCTTGCTTTCTTCTAGAACATTAATACCAAAATATATATTCATTCATTAGTGCAACACACTTTCCTGGTATAATTTCTTAAATACTCAATCATTAGTCCATGGGTTGGAAGTTGGAACTTGTGAACTGCACTTGACAAGCTGACATGCTTCCAGTTAGTAGCTTTTCAAACCATTTGATTCATTAATTCTGCTTATCTTCTAATCCAAAATTTTTAAACTTTATTTTACTATAAGATTATCTAGTCACTATTCTTTGACAACAATTTTCATATGGTTAAGATAATAAATGATTGTAGCATTTGTACTTCGTAAAATTAATGAAAGGTAGAAATGTGAAGACATTTGCTATATCAGTTGATAACAAAAAAGAAATTTTTAATTGAGTCTGCATTTTTTTCCATGTAAAAGGGGTAGAAAATGCTTTTTCCATAAAAGAGATAGAAATACAATTGATGTTTTACACAGTGGAAACTTTCTACCTATTTTATGTCAAAACAAAAGGAGGCTTAACAAAACTCTTGTTGAGATGCAAAATAATGGCTTGGAAGGCAGGTCACACTTCTAGCGTAGACTATGATTTTACATTCCAAATAACCATTGTTTAGAAGATCAACATATTTCCTGATATTGCCACAATATTTCTAATTCCATGGGTGTGTACACAAAAAACCATGGGAGTATATCTTCACATATTCTTCAATGTTTAATATCTTTTATATTGTTTTTAAACAACTTTTACTTTTTACTTGTATTTTCTCTTGAAACCCACTAGTTTTTTTTTTGCAAATTTATCATTATAGACGACTTTTTTTTATAGAATATTTTTAACTATACAAGATTAATTAAGTATTGTGATGCTTTAAAATTTTAAACACTAATAAAAAGGTTAGACACTATTGTGAAAAGCACATTCATATGTAAATAATACCTTTTATATTAAACAAAACATAATAAAATAATGTATACAAGCTAATGGTATGATGGTGCAACAACCAATATTTCAGTTACAAAGGATCTTCACCAAGGTTCAACACTTGGCTCTTATTTATTTGCACTAATCAAAGATGAATTAACTAACATAGCCAAGAGCAAGTCCCGTGGTGCCTGTTGTTTACTGATGAAATTGTTTTAATTGATGAAATTAATGAAAGGATTAAATGAAAAATTAAGTTTATGGACAAATACTTTAGAAACAAGAGGTTTTATAATAAGTAGGAGTAAAACAGGATGTGTGCTATGTGCATTTAATAATAAGAGTGCAAATCAGAGCACACTTGGATTGGAGACCAAGAAATAACTCAATGTGACCTTTTCCAGTACCTTGGTTATAATTCTTAACAAGGGAGAGATTGAGGAGGATGTTGCCCATCAAATTATAGCAAAATGGGCAAAATAGAGTGGTGCATCTGGAGTCTTATGTGGTAGGAGAATACCATTTCGATTAAAAGGAAAATGATATAAAACAGTTGTAAGGCCAACTATGCTATATAGAGTAGAGTGTTGGGTATTCAAGAAACATGTCTAAAAAATGTGGTAGAAATGTGTATGCTGAGATGAATGGAAAAACTAGATAGGGTCACAAATGAAATCATTTGAAGGAATCTAAGAATACCTCCAATAGGTGATAAAATGACCAAAAGACTAAGATGATTTGGTCATGTACATAGAAGACCACCTACAGCACCTGTAAGAAGTGATCTGTTACAAGTTGAAGGGGCTAGAAGGGCTAGGGGCAGACCAAAAACGACATGGCTGATGGTTGTAGTAAGAAATGTTTTAAGCACTCATAATTTAACAATGGATATGGCAATAAACAGAACGGAATGGTGAAAAAGGATTCATGTAGCCAAGCCCATATAGTTGGGATAAGGCTTATGATGATGTCCAGAGATATAATAATATTTTAAACCCTTAAATTTAGTTCTAAAGGAATAGGCCATCTTCAAATCAATTTAAAAGGATTATTTCCAAAAGAGTAGGTTTTTTTTATGTTCTTTTACAACTTCAGAAAATCAAAATTATTTGTTTTCCTATTGAATATCATTTTCCAAGGAAACCATTCATTTTCCTTTTATCTTACATGCAACCAGCACAGGCTATATAATAAAAGTAGAAACTAGATATGAAGCTTCAAGCAATGAAAGAATAAGATACCAATGTTTGAACCATCCCAACACGCTGAGATCTGAAGATGGTTATTGTGTTCACGAGATCTAAAGCAGACATGTCTCCAATGAGGATCCTTTGGATGGCATTATGTATTGTACAATATGTGCCTGTTCTTCCAATACCTGCACTGAGCAAGAGAGAGGAAATATCTCAGGCTTACATGCATAAATAATTTATATAATACTGGAGTATCATCCAGCTCATAGTTATGTAAGCAAACATGAGGTGAACCTGCAGTGCACAGCAATGGGACCAAGATTGGGTGGAACATGATATATCCTCTTCAGAATTTCACGAACAGCAAGTGTATCTCTTGGCACTCCATGATCAGGCCATTCAGGGTACTGAATGTGGAGAACAGACAAGGGCGGGTCCTCTGACTGCAAAACAGTCAGCAAAAGGAGATAAACAAGCCATACAATCATTTTCCACCAAAGAGTAGACCCCTCTAAATAAGACCTTACATTTAATGAAATAAGGCAACCTAAATCATAAGATACTAGAAAAGAACTAAGGTAAGTCAGAGGCATCTTTGTCTAAAGGATTAACAGATGTTCAAGAACAACTTAAAATCTATACTTATAGACTATGGTCACCCTGTTTGCAAGTAGAAGACTCTGCCTATAGTTGATAGATTTTCGTATAGTGTCTAATTGATCTGATCTCTGGATCAGACACTGACATTTACATTACTGCCTTGCACAGTTCATCAGATTCATCATTTGGCATGGATGTGGTTAAGAGGATGCCCCAAACTGGGCATCCAACCATGCTTAGCTGATTGTCCTAGGTGGTGAGCTCTCTTGCTGAAAGTGGCTTTCAACTCGTACAGTATTTATGAGAGGAAGGGAGCAACGAAGATGGAGGAACGAAGCGACGAAGATTTTCAGGTGGTGAACAGGTGGAAGTCGGAACTGAATATCGAAGCGAAGAAAATACTACTTTGAGAGTGGAAGGGCCAGAGGTAAGAATCTGCTAAAAGTTAGAGAAGACAGGAAGGCGATGTTACTTCTGTCTGAAGAAGCAATGCTATGGTTGAAGGGGTTTATCGATGGAGTACTTCAATTGCTCAGAACAGTAGGGTAGAAAAATGTATTAGAGCTGGAAAAGAAGAAATACTAAGTGGAACTGAGGTGCAACGAGAAAGGCTGGTTCATTACCATCTCAGAATACTTGGGCAATAGGAAACAAATGGTTTGTTTACCGGAAGGGAAGCAGGCACAAGGGTGGACAGCTTTTTCAGATGAGTTACAGCAGTTTCTCATCTCTGTTGACAGGTACTTACATAAGGAGCATGAGAAAGAACAAAGTACAGAGGATAGCCCTCATAAATACTCAAGCCAGCCATTAAAGCAGAGCTCCTCTAGCTGTGGAGAGGCAATAGCGAGTTCAAATAGAGGGATGAAGGTGTGGTTTGAGACTGAGCAAGGTGATTGGGAGCAGAGAATGGTGATAACAGCCAACAAGGATATACAGGATTGGAGGAAGATTCTGAAGTCAGTGGTGCATAACTTGAAACTAGAAACTGAGGTTGCTCTGAAGCCATTCTCAAATAGGAAGGCAGTGTTAAGAATTGATGATGAGGTAAACAGGGGATTTACAGCATTCAAATGTGAAGAAGGTTTGGTCCAAGTCCAGAACTGGAAGCCATCGTGTAATGAGATGGAACATACTAGCGGAAGCTTCCTGCTAAAACTGGTAGGACTTCCCTTCCATCTTTGGAATGAATCAAACCTGGGAAACATAGTGAAGCTGTTGGGTGGGGCAATGGAGGAAGTCCAGTTGCAAGACCTTCATGCCGCAGAGGTTAGGATTATTGGGGTGAAACCAGAATCGATCCCAAGAACAATCAAAGTTCTTGCTGATGGAGCATGGTATAGAATTTGGCTGGTTTCAGAGGTAGAGGCAGAGCTCGGAGGACGAAGAACCAAGGTAGAAGACGATGCCGACATGGTGGGCTAGATTACATGTGGCACACAGGTGTTGGCGAGAAGGGTCGAAGAACAGTACATGCCTAAAGGGGAAGCTGGAAAGTCAGAGGAAGAAAACCAAAAGACACGCAAGCTATTAAAAGAAAAAAAAATTGAAAGATTTTGAATTAAATGGGAAATTAGGGGCCCGGGCTTCATTTGTTGACGTGGTTTAGAAGGGGGTGGACCAGTCAAAGGTTTGGTGCGGGCCGGTCTATCTGAACCAATAGGAGGACAGAACAGTTCAAATAAGGGTTCGAAACTTAATCCACGTGACTGTTTAAGTGAGCATGTGGATCGGGGGGAGGTAGTGTGGACTGTGGACTATAGACGATAGAAATTGTCTATAGGCGGACAGAGCAGACCACAGGTTCCTTAAAATGGATCTCTTGCCCAGTTTCTGATATACTTTGGGAGGGCCAATCATCACAGGATCGACCAAATCCCAGGTACACAAGAGATTGCAACGAGGAGAAGGAAGATATCGATGAGGGCTGGGTAGACTGCAACTTGGAATAAGCAGAAGTGGAAGAAGACTTGGACGATCAATCTAGCATAGGAAGTGTCGAGTTCGAGAAGATGCCAGAGGAAGAGGTAGTGGCAACTTTAAATCTTGGAATGCTGTTTATAGAAGTAGAAGAAAATTTTTGCGAAGAGCAGCCTCTTCGTTGTGTCAGTAAAGATCCAATCATCAGAGTGGAACACAGTCCTAATTTTGGGGATGAAAACTCTGACTCACACTCAGAAGCTCCATTGCCAAATCTTTCTGACGGACAGGAGAGGTGTAAGGAGGTATTTGAGACTACACAGAAGCAAGACAGGGCTACAGAAGTGAGGGACAAACAGGAGGGTGAGAGAAGAGATCACTATATAACAAAGGAGACGGGAAGGCAAACTCATCAGAACCATAGGCACACCATAAGGGAAATCAAAATCTTATCAAAGGAACTTCAACTGTCAGTCAAATGGGTCCATAAAATTGCAAATAGCCTAGCTGATACACTTGCATACCAAGGGGTAAATCAGGAACAGTTGTTTTGAGCAACCACACAGGGAGAATGAATGTAAATATGATAAATATAATATTCTAAATTGGGGGTTGGGCAGTGCATGCTGACCTAGTAGTTGTCAGTTATTGTACTTATTTTTTAAGCTTTTAATAAAAACTCATCATTACCTATCAAAAAAATACAATATAAAGGTAATATCTCTTACTTCAACCTTTATTAGTTGCTTCTTGTCTTTCTCTATTTATCCCCTTATGACAAGCCCACAAGGCACATGGAAAAGGAACCACATAATGTTTCAACTAACGATAGAAATAAAATGTCTGCGGAATCATTGGTGAGGTTGATTTTTGATGTGGAATAACCAAACATAAGGAGTAACAAATTCCTATGCATATGCCATGGGACACCAAATCCACATGCATAAACAACAACTTGTATCATCATGTATAATTGTCCCCTTCTAAAAGGAACTATACTTTTTGTAAAACCTTTTTTTTTATAAATGTATACTTTTTGTAAAACCTTTTTTCTTGAAAAAAGATGCAATTACCTCTTTTGCAAAGAAGAAAGGGTTTTAGGGGTTTCTTCATGTCAAAGAGTGGAATGGCTAGCTACTCAGCTCTCTTACAGGCAAAAATCATGTATAAGTTTTTCCAACTGAAATTTTTTTTTTTATCAATATTTTGCCAACTGAAAATGGTCCCACACATGTTTGAGACTAAACCTTCTTATTTTCCAGACATCCAAAAAGTTCCTATATATCATTTTGAACCAATTTCTCACAGATTTCACCTTACCTCTTTGTAGTTAACCTCCAAATTGCGAAGCACCAATGAATTATCAGTTGTTGTAATCCACCTACTGACAATGCATATATTACCAAATTCTCTAGGGCCATCCTCAGCTTGAAAATAATCTCCACATTTCACCATCTGTAACAGTAATAGAAAAGTAACATTTGGGAAATTGAAAATATAGGCATAGAAGAATTTGCTGCTGCCCAAAGAAAAGCTTATTTAAGTGTCTCAAAAGAAATTAGAGAATGAGACACATCAGGATCATATCAAAACATTTGAGGAATTTATGAAGTTATTAGTTCAGTCTTGTTAGGGGCCATTACTTGGTGTAATGGCAAAATCTTGGGTATGCAAATGTGATAACGCAGGTTATGTCTGAGGGCAGCAGCCACTTTGTGTGAAAAATCCCAAAGGTTAGGACCATACCCAGTCTACCCCTCCCAAGACCCCAGATAGCTGAGACCATTGGTTAATGGGCTTTTGACTGGGCCAGTCATTGAAATGAAGCAAGTAGGCCATAACTCTAAATGATACAAGACAGAACATATGAAAAACATTGCCAACATTGGTTGCATTGTTTGTAAATTATGTGCAGGTAGAATCCTTGCCTAACAGAAAAGGCATGTTTTGAGAACACTCTTTAATTTTTTTTTCCATTGTTCCCATCATCATCAATCAACAAGGTATATGATCAAATAAAAGGCAAGTTCAAGCTCAACAACAGGGACAAGGTAATTGAGAAGATTCTGCAATCCCAAGGAGCATTTGTAGATGGGCAAATTCTTGATGGGCCATTGAAAGCAAATGAGTGTATAGACTCAAGGATCCACCAACGCCTCCCAGGTGTTATATGTAAGCTTGATTTGGATAAGGTTTATGACTATGTACAGAAGATTTATGTAGATATCACGTTTTGAGGAAAATGGGTTTTGATGTCTGGAGGAGATGGATTTATAGTTGCATCTCAAAGCCTTTCTATTCAATAATTATTAATGGAGCTCCAGAGGACAACTTTCCTAGGGGGAGGGTTCTAAGATATGGTTACCCCATTCCCCTTCCTTTTCACACTACCTTTAGACCCTTTCGGCATATTGATAAACAAGGCAGCTGATGGAGGATTTATAGAAGTATTCTTGGTTGGTAACAAAGGTCCCCAGATTACTCTATTACAGTTTGCTGATGATACATTAATTTTTGCAAGAGCTAGGTAGGAGGATCTGCTATTTATTCGTTGCATTCTCATATGTTTTGAGGCAGTATCAGTGTTGAAGATCAATTTACAGAAGATTTTTCTAATCCCTTTCTCCCTGTTGGTGATGTTCCCCACATAAGTGAGCTTGCCAGCACTTTGGGTTACAAGGTGGGGGCTCTTCCTAGGACATATTTGGGCCTTCCTTTGGGTACCAACTATAAGTCAAAAGCAGTATGTGATCCTACCATTGAACATTTCAGGAGGAGATTATCAGGGTGGAAAAGAAAGTTGTTTGTCTAAGGGAAGTAAGCTTACTCTCATCCGTAGTGCGTTATTGAACTAGCCAACTTATTACCTCCCACTTTTCTCTATGCCTGCTTCTATTGCTGATAATTTGGATAAGTTTCATTTAGATCCCTTGTGGGATGGACCTACAAGGAGGAAAAGATTCATATAATGCCGTGGACATAATTTGTGAACCCAAAGAAAAATGATGAATAAGTTTACGAAAGCTGAAGTTGATGAATGATTCTCTTCTCTCAAAATGGTTATGGAGATATGGGGAAGAAAGGTCACACAGAGGCAAGCCATCTGCTGTAAATATGGACAAGCCCCCATGGATTGGGAAGCTCTCATGCCATATCATACTGGTCCAGTGTCTAGAAAGGCATTATGAAGAGGAATGACGTTTTTGTAAAGCACATCAGAATGAAGCCAGGAAATTGTGAAAATACCTATTTTGGTTAAGATTATTGGTTCTCTGAAAGCCGCTTGTGTATTCCCCGTTCTTTTTGGTATAGCCACTAATAAGAAGGGCCCTGAAGGAGCATGCTGACATGCATAATTCACACATGATCTGGGCTCAAATTTGAATGATTGGGAGATAGATCAGCTGGCAGATCTGATGGGCATGATTTCCACCATAAGTAACTAGTATGGACCCTAGAAAAGTCAGGAAGCTTCTCAATTAGGTCCTGCCACAGAGGTAGTGCTGCCCCTTTTCCAAAGCTACCATGGTCATGGACCTCAGGAGTGCAGGTCCCATTGAAGACATTCTTCTTTTTACAGTCTGCTGGTTAGAGGACAATCCAGACCATTGATAATTTAAGGAGGCATGGAATGGACTTGGAAACTCATTGTTGCCTAAGTGGGGACTAGGGAGGTCCTTGAATCTGTAACTCTCTTGCTGATCCACTGCCCTGTGGACCTGTGATGTTTCAGATCTGGTGCCACTTATGTTATTTCAGACTTCAGAGACAGTGGGTTACTCCACCATGCAGAGTTGACTTGTTATCTTGCTGGAAAGTTTTGAGGAATTCCTTGTTTTTTTTTCCATCTGCTAGGTTGTGTGGAAGGAGAGGAATGTGGAGACTCTATAACTTGATGTATCTTATTAGTATAGTCCTTGTTGTACATTACTTATACTTCTTATTCTTCTTTTCTCTTTCAGCCCTATATGGACATTCTTGTAATTGTACATATCTTTTAATATATAAGAGACTCTTCGAGGTGGGGGTCATTTTATTCTTGACACCTCTAAGATTATTCTCGTTCTTGTCTATTCAGACAGGAGTGTTGACATGGTATCAGAGCAGGTTGCTCTTTGATCTATTTTCTCTCTCTCATGAAACTCACTAGAAGCAGTAATCCTGTCATATTAGGGCTGTTTTGATCAACCCTTTTCTGTTCAGTATTCTTTGCACAACCAGTAGGAGAGATTTCGTTAGATCTCTCTTGTGAGACATAGGTTCGAGGCCAAACTTCAGATCTAGTGTCACCTAGACCTGATCTACTCTTCCTACAAACAGCATCTGATTTGATGAAGTTTTTGAAGGAGTTTTGATCTTCTCCTTGGGGCAGCAACATTGTACAGTTTCCTTTTTCGGATTGCAACAGCTTTGGACTTCAGATCTGATGTCTCCTAGAGTTGATCTATTCTACCTACAAACAACATCTGATTTGGTGAAGTTTTCGAAGGAGTTCTGATCTTCTTGGGGCTGTAACACTGTACAGTTTCCTTTTTTGGACTGTAACTCTTTTTTTTTTTGATTTCTGGCCTTCTACATCAACCTGCGATTTGAGTTTTTCTCTCCAGATTGAAGGGTCCTCTCAAGCTCTTCTTAATCCTACACTCAGTTTCTGGTTTGAAGATTTTTAGGGACTGTTTTGATCAGCACAAAATATCTCCTTATTCTTGAAAAAGACGCCTGTTGTGTTGGTAAATCACAGTTTTCTCTCAATCAGCTCACTCAATCAACCTATAACCCTAGATCTAGTGTCATCCTAGGGTTTTCTTGTTTCCCATTTATTTGATTCAGACTTCAGATTTAGGTTGACTCAATCAACCTAAATCTTGATTGCTGAATTTGGTTGTCTCTGATATCCTTGTGCCTGGACTGCTGTTTTCTTGCTGAAATGGCCTCCAATAGAGAAGGTATTATTCCTATAAAGCTGGAAGGATCAACCTATGGAATTGACACTGCTGCTGTAGCACATGGGAGTAAGAAATCTACTACTAGTGGTGATTCTTTTGTTAAAGGTGATTTCTGGCATCTATGGTTGAGGAAAACATTCGACAACTAGTAACTTCTGCTCTTTCTGCTATTGGCTTACTTGGTGAGTTTTCTGGTTATTGTGCTTCTTCTTCTCATACTTGGATCATTGACTCTAGAGCTACCAACCACATGACAGGAGCCTACCCTAACCAACAAAGTAACCTTACTAAAACCTATCACAAACATATTGTTATTGCCAATGGTGAAAAGTTAAACATCATTGGTAGTAGTGATCTGCCTCTTAAGCTTTCACCCACTGCATCTGTCCCTCTTACCAAGACCCTTCTTGTTCCTAATCTCACTACAAACTTGATTTCTGTTGGCCAATTAATTGACGAAGGTAACATTCTCATCTTCTCTCAGGATGGATGTTTGATTCAGGACCGGAACACTGGGAAGGAGAAAGGGAAGGGGCACAGGTTGGGCCATCTGTTTGCATTGGAGTTCGAGAAGCCTCAAACAGCAACATCATCAGTTTATTTCAGTTCCTCCACTTCTAGTTCCTTTCTGAGTCATAGAAATAATGTTTGGGACTTAGGGCATAAACATTTGGGTCATTTACATTCTGAAAAATTAAAATTTTTGTTTGATTCAAGCCTTATTAAGAATAAAGTTCCTTCCTTGCACACCTTTGATACATCTTGTGTTTCTTGTTACCTAAGTAAGAGTCGTACCTTACCATTTCCTCACATATTTGAGCATGCTACCTCTCCCTTCGATCTTATACATAGTGATGTCTGGACTGCTTCTGTCTCTTCTCGGCTTGGATACAAATATTTTGTGTCGTTCATTGATGATTGTACCAGGTACACATGGATATACTTTTTCCACCACAACTCTGAGGTGTTCCCAACATTTAAGTTGTTTCATGCTATGGTGTGGGTTCGGTTTCAATCACAAGTGCGTATTCCCCGTTCGGATTCAAGGGGAGAATACACTGATGGAGATTTTTTATCCTATTTGAAGGACCATGGAATACAAGTGCAACGAAGTTGTCCAGATACTCCTCAGCAGAATGGTGTGGCCGAGCGCAAGAATGAACATATCCTTTGTGTTGTGAGGAAATTATTGCAAGAGTCCCATACTCCAACTTCATTTTGGGTAGAGGCAACCAATACAACTATGTTTTTTATCAACTATATTCCTTCCTCAGTTCTTGGTAATATGTCTCCCTTTCAGAAGTTATTTGGTTGTTCTCCAGATTTATCTATGCTCATGTTTTTGGATGTGTGTGCTTTGTTCATCTTACCTCTCGTGAACGTTCTAAATTGTTTGCACAGTCTGTCATGTGTGCCTTTGTGGGTTATGGTCCTGACCACAAAAGATTTCTTTGTTATGATCCCTCTATTCGTCGCATTCGTATATCACGTAATGTTGTTTTCCTTGAGCACATTTCATTTTTTGTTGGAATTGCCAGATTGTCTGCACTATCTGTTTCTATTTTGCCAAACTTTGATTCACAGGATGCTCCACCTCATTCTACTGAGAAGGACTTTCTCATCTTCTCTCGCAAGCGATTACGTGCTCCAGCCCCTGCGCCTGCGACTTTCCTTCCTCCCGGTTCAGATCATCATCCTACCACTGCTCCTATAAGTGATACCTCTACTTCAGACACTCTTCATACTTTCGTTCCTCTTTGTTGTTCTAATCGTATATCTAGACCTCCTTACCACTATGGTTTTCCTTTAAACCATAGCTCTGTCTGTTGTCCTATCCTCCACAGATGTTCCTCGCTCTTACCAAGAAGCTAATAGTAGCCCTCATTGGAAGGAAGCCATGGATGCAGAGATCCATGTGCTTTACATGAGAATGACACTTGGGATTTTGTGCCTGCTCCTCCAGATGCATCCATTGTTGGGAGTCATTGGGTTTACAACATTAAGCTGAAGTCTAATGGATCTCTTGATCGATACAAAGCACGTTTAGTTGCCCAGGGATATAGCCATGAGTATGGTATTGACTATGAAGAAACTTTTGCTCCTGTTGCAAAGATCACCACAGTTCGTGTTCTTTTAGCAGTGTCTGTTGCTCAGTCTTGGACCATATGCCAGCTTGATGTGAAGAATGCCTTTCTTCAAAGTCAGTTGAAGGAGACAGTCTACATGAAGCCTCCTCCTGGATACTGCAATGATCCTTCTTTAGTATGTCGCCTCAAAAATTCTCTATATGGTCTAAAACAAGCTCCCCAGGCATGGTTTGAACGCTTTCGCGATGTTGTAGTTGCTATTGGATATAGCCAGAGTTCTTTTGATCATTCTTTATTTGTTAAGCAACAGCCTCAGGGTATTACCATTCTCCTACTATATGTTGATGACATGTTGTTGATTGGGAATGATGTTGAAGGCATTCATGAATTGAAACTATTACTTCATAATTCCTTTCACAGGAAGGACTTGGGCCCTCTCACATATTTCCTGGGACTAGAAGTACATCGTAGTGATCGAGGGTATTTTGTTTGTCAGCAGAAGTATGCCTCTGACCTTGTTAAACTTGTTGGTCTTAATGATGAAAAGCATGGTGATACACCTATGGAGCTAAATCATAAGCTATCTAAATCTGAAGGTCCATTACTTCCTAATGCTGCCTTATATCGCTAGCTTGTGGGGTCCCTCATTTATCTGACTATGACTCGGCCTGATGCTTTTCAGGTTGTTAGTCAATTTGTTTATGCTCCTCGCCAACCTCATATGACTATTGTTCATCGCACCATTCAATATGTTAGAAGCACAACTTCTCAGGGACTGTTCTTCTCCTCCTCCTCTCCTATTCAGTTGAGAGCATATGCTGATGCAGATTGGGCTGGTTGTCCAGACACTCGTAGGTCCACTTCTGGGTGGTGTGTTTTTATGGGTGATTCACTCATCTCTTTTAAGTGTAAGAAACAACAAACAGTCTCCAAGTCTTCCACTGAAGCATAGTATAGGGCCATGTCTTCGGTTTGTAGTGAGATTGTTTGGTTACAGTCTCTCTTTATGGATCTTGGCATTCAGCTTCCTACTCCTATTCCTCTCTATGCAGACAATAAGAGTGCTATCAAGATTGCATCTAACCCTGTCTTCCATGATAGGACCAAGCACATCGAGGTGGACTGCCACTTTACCCGAGATCTCTTCACTACTGGGTCTATATTGCTTCCTCGTATAGCCTCGGACATGCAGATTGTTGATATCTTCACCAAGGCTATGACTAGAGTTCGACATCTCTTTCTTATAGACAAACTGATGCTTATGTCTAGGCATCAGTTTAAGGTGGGTGTGGAGACTATAACTTGATGTATCTTATTAGTATAGTCCTTGTTGTACATTACTTATACTTCTTATTCTTCTTTTCTCTTTCAGCCCTATATGGGCATTCTTGTAATTGTACATATCTTTTAATATATAAGAAACTCTTTGAGATGGGGATCATTTTATTCTAGACACCTCTAAGATTATTCTTGTTCTTCTCTATTCAAACAAGAGTGTTGACAAGGAATAGCAGGCTTTTGGGAGTAAAGAGGCCTCTTTGGAGGCTATCATAGGGAATGTAGAATGGAAACTCATGAGGTGGGCCCAGGTGCTGAGTTTGTTCTCGTATATTCCATTTGATGAATTCAAGAATGACTGGGCAGCCATCATCTTTTAATCCAAGTGTAAGGAATTATGATATATAATTATATAGTTACACTTTTTCTGGATATATGTAATAACACTTTTTGTATTGTTTGAGGGCTTCTTGCTCTCTTATATAGTAATACAATTTTTTTTATCATTTATCAAAAGAAAAAAGAATTCAACTATAAGGCAAATAGGTTAAATGAGCCCTTGGGGTTTTGTTGTTGAACAATTAACCAATCATCAAGCAAATTACCTTGAACCTCACACAGTAAAGTACCTTGTAATTGTCAACCAACCGAGTAAGCATCACGATCACAGGGCAACGATACTGGATTACCATCTCCCAGAAATCTTCAAATGTGTGTGGTAGTGGTCCTTGTGTAGCTATAAACCGTGAAAGGTTTTCACTAGAAGAAGTCTACATGTAATAAACATTCCTTAAGGGTCAAACAGGGAAATATGGTTACAAATACTTCATATAACTGCCTAGAGAAAGAGAATAAGAACATCCAGCAGATAAAACTCTCATTATTCCAGCACGAAGGTATAAATCGCTACCGTGATAAAGCTTGCATTGATATAATCCCTCCCTAATGATATGGAATCCTCAGATGGCTTGAGAACAACTCTGTTTTGGTCAACTGAAAACAACAAATATAACAAACCACTGATCAAATTGTACAGCAATTTTCAGAGGTTATATCAAAAGAAGATATTAACAAATTGAAAAATAATTTCAAATTTCCAGAAGAGGAAAAACAAATGAATTAATGGATACATGGTAAGACATCCAAATAACGGTTCTTCTCCTTATTTGTGTATTCAAGAGCCACTTTACAACTGTTCATCATATCATACTTCCTTATCCTAGTGGCCTGGAAAGAGAACAAGATTTAGTAAGTATCCAGATATTTATATATCTAACTATATAAAGAAAACAATGATTTTTCTTGGTATAAAACACAACGATAGCAAGCAAGTAAAGCATATATAGTTTTTAAAGAAAGATTGGGGGCAAAAGAGATGAAACCTCCAAAAAGTACGATATCCTACAACCTTCACCATGAATGAGTAGGTGTGAATATTTGCAAAAAATTCAATACAAAAATAAATAAATAAAACCAGGATGTTGAACATTTTATGATTTCTAGCTTCAGGGAACTCTTTGATATTAAATCATATCCCAACATTCTTTTCATTGTCTAGCTCTCTGTTCTTGGCAGTTCACCCCCATATTCTTTAAACATACAAATATGTTCCACACACACACACACAAAGTAGGAGCTACCCAAGAACAAGTTTCTCAGATCAGCATTACAAATTTGGTCATTTAACCGGTGTGGATGGCTGTTGTGGTCTAGGTAGGAGACTTGGCAATAAAACCACTGTTCACTCTTTGGCATACCAGCTAAATGGTGAGAATTTAATGGGGCATATTACAGAAAGCAAATATAGATTCAGACCATGTCGATGTGAAACATAACGATCAATTGGAATTATAGAGCCAGCCAACCTGTAGAAGAGTAGTCTTGCAGCCCCTGAAGATTTTGGCAATTTTTCTCTTACAAAGAACTTCTTTATTAAGTATTTGCTTATATACTAAAAGATAAAACAATATTAAAGGAAAAAGAGAATACAAAATGCATACATGCATTGTGGGAAAGGAATAAAAAACAAAACAACATAAATAAAAGAATAAAAACAATGAGTGGAAAAAAACCCTTTAGCAAATCCACTATGAACATGAACCCTAAATCATTCATGCCACCTCAAGTAGGACTAGATAAAAACATGAAAATATTTTGGGAAATTTTGGATAGAATAGTTTAAGAAATTGCAATTGGAAACAAAATTTCATTGGCTGGAATTTAAATGGTCAAATAGAGAAATAAAATACAAGCTATGATAGATGCATGGAGGATATGGTTACAGAGAAAGAAATGAAATGAGGAGATGCAATTTAGATTTTGTAATAGCAGTTTTTCTTGCAATTAAAAAACACACACTCTTTAAGAAGAAGGATGGACATTTAGTTAGAATCTAAAGAGAAAAAAGCTAATGCAATGTAAGTATGAATTAAAAGTTGAAGGACAAATGGATGTAGGGGAAGAAACAAAACTAATATGATTTAGAGAAACTAAAAGTTGAAGGAAAATGTAATGCAAGGGAGGATTTCTATTTTTTTTTTTTTTTGAAAAGTTAACGTAATATATTGTATTGATCAACTAACCCAGAAATACACAACAACCCAGCAACCCATGTACATTGTGACTGTACAGTGGGAAGTACGATGCAAAAAAACAAGCAGAACATATTATCAAACAAAAAGAGATCCACAATCAAAAAAAAGCTGAACTGGATTCCCTGAAATGGTTTATGATTGCTTAGCCAAGAACATAACAAGCCTTTTACATTACTTCTTACTGTATCCATATCTGATTACTTATTTTCAAAAATACACATATTTCTTTCTCTCCACACTTTCCAGATAATAGCAGCAGGCAAAATTCCTCAGAAAACCTTCCCTCTACTGGACAAGCCTGAAATTCTCCATCCTTTAAATAGCTCCAGTACTGTATCCGGAAGACAACATTGCTTCCTAAAAGCATAGCAAGAACAAGGTCCATAAATGACGGGAGAATTTACAGTGAATAAGGAGGTGATTTGAAGATTCTGAGCATTAATTGCATAAGGAACAGGTATCATTGTCCAAAAATCATTCCTCTTCTTACCAGCTTGCCTTTTGTTAAGCATCTGCCAAGTGTATCTGTCCAAATTAAGAAAGCCACCTTTGAAGAAACACAAATTTCCATATTTTAGCCCAAGGAAAGTGATTAGGCTGCTGTGGTAGCAAACTATTGTAGAAAGATTGAACAGAAAACTGACCAGCATTTTCCCATTTCCACACCTTTTCATTGGAAAATTAAAAGGTAAAATACATTTGTCTAAAGAGGCTTCTGTGGTAGAAATGGAGAAATTCAAGGAGCTATGAAAACAAAGAAGTTTTGTTACAAGGTTTGACAAAAAATGGAAATAGAGAGAAATTAGAAATATAAAAATGCAAGATATAAATTGAAAACAATAAGTAGATAAAGCTAAACTTAAGGCACATGATGAGTTCGGCAAAAAGCTACATACAAAACAAGGCCAAAAGGATATATACATATTTGCAAAGATAAGAAAGAAGAAAATGATGAAAACAAATAAAAAAGATAAGAAAGAACAAAAGTATCATCATTGTCATCATCCATGCCATATTCCAACTCCAACTTGTCTTACACAGCCGATCCCAAGCCCAGATAAAGGAGGAGGGTTGCGTCAGATTGGTAGTTGGCACTAAAACTTTTGCCAAACCCTTTTGAATATGAACAAAAGTATAAAAGGCAATTAAAGTGAAGACTAAAGAGTTTTATTAAAGAATGAAAAGTTCAAGGAGAGGTGAAGAAGTTATTTTAATGATCACCAAATGAAGAACATGATGGGCAAATCTTGACGGCTTTTTAGAAACCTTGTGGAGAGTGATAAAGCATAGATAAGGAGAACTCTTACTACTTACTTGCTAATCCCCTCCCGCCTCTCCCTTTACCTTGGTAAGTGAAAGCGCATATGAACACTGGCACCAAACTTACTCAAGTAACTTTTGCCCAGGTAAACTCGCTTACCTATGTAAGTGAACACAAATGGGGCCTAAAGCAAATTCATAAGTAACCGATACGAAAACTCCAATACGGACTCTAATTCCTAAAACAACTCTAATAACACTTTCCTAATCCTACTAAAACTAATTTAATGTAAAGGCACCAAAAATTACTAAAAAAAGCAAATCACCAGTTTACTATAAGTAGTAATTATGGAAATCACTACAAATAGTAAGTCCAAAAATTACCCATAAATAGTAATTTTGAAATAGCAGTAAATTTCTGAAAGACTTAAACCCTATTCTTAAGACACTTGCAACTAGAAAATAAATTAAATAAACTCAAATAATATCAATATCCTATCACCCAAAAATGTTGAAATTGGTGTAGGAATTGGAAAACTGATTTTTTTTCTACTCCATGTAATCTTAATTCAATTGTTCAATATGATTATTAAAACATAGATAATACCTAGATAGTGGAGGAAATTAGTTGGCACTCTTGGTGCTCAGTGCTGGAAACTGAGGTGCTAGCCTTCAAAGATGGCCTGGCTTTTAGTCAGAGCACAGGTGGTCTCTTCTAATCGAGGAAGATTCTATGATGCTGGTAAAAAATCTTATTGGATATGGGACTCAGCCACCCTCTTGGAAGATTGAGCCAATTGTCATGGAGTGCAGACCGCTGTTGAAGGAGAAGCTGATCTCCGTGGTCCATACCTACAGAGAAGCAAACGTTGAAGCTCACTCCCTTGTGAGAGCTGCAGAAATCAGAGGTGTGTTGAATTCCTGGTCTGAGTGGCCTGAAATGTTTCTAAACTTGGATGATAGGGGATTCCACCTTGTGTAAATCAGTTGATTGATGAATGAATTCAGCCTATAGGCTTTCCAAATAAAAGTACAATGGTCCCTATATGTAAGAATAAAGGTGATATACAATGTTCCAAATTTATGAACCATGCTATAAAACTTCAGCTATGGTCGATCAAGCAAGGAGCAACAACTAAGGCATGAAACTAATGTTTAGAAAACCAATTTGGAATCATGTCAGAGAGATCAACCACCAAAGTTATCTTTTTTCTTAAGGCTCAGTTTGGAAAGAGTATAAATGCAAATATCTACAGTGCAAATACATACAAAATAATACAAGATACAAGGTTTTGTACTCTACATATTTGTATTTGTACTCCTTCCAAACTGAGACTAAGAGATTAATTAAGAAATTTACAGAGCAAAGGAGAGATCTCTACTTGATATTTATTGATTTAGAAAAAGCATATGATGGGGTTGAGGGATTTAGAAAAAGCAATTCATAGCATCCTTCCTCTCTTTCTCAACTTTGTCAGGTATGATGTTTGTTCTAGTGATTCTGTGCTTCTTTGGGAGGATACCTGGGTGGGTGTAACCAGTCTCTAAAGGATCTGTTCCCCTCTCTGTACTCCATTTCTTTGTCTAGGGAAGAGATTGTTTCCAACTTTCTCTCTTCACCCCTTCCTTTGTCCCTGACCTGGGGTTTTGGCTTCAGGAGGGTGTTGAGGAATGCTGAGGTTTCTTGTGTTTTCAAACTTTTGCTTCTTCTTGATAGTGTTTGTTTGGACCCTTCTAAGCCTGATATAAGGATTTGGTCACCAAGCCCTAAAGGATCCTTCTCTAGTGCCTCCTTTTCCAAGTCTCTCTACTGCCACACTGGTCATAGGGTTTTCTCAGTGAAGAAACTTTGGTCTAAGCCGGTGCCACCCAAAATTGTTGTTTTTTGTTGAGAAGTGTTTCATGGAAAGATTAACACTTTGGACAACGTGCAAAAGAAACAACCTTTCATGTGTTTGTCCCCTAACTAGTGCTCCTTGTGCAAAACTAATGGGGAGACATGTAGTCACTTATTACTATCCTGTCCTTTGGTTGCAACTATTTGGAATTGGATATTTGCATTGGCTGGGTACAGACGGAACCTACCAAACAGAAGTAAGTCTACTTTTTTATCCAACTTTTTTTGTTGGCCCACAAAAAAGGGGAGAGTTATGTGGAAGAGTATTAGAGCAGCCACCTTATGGACAATTAGGGAAGAAAGGAATAGCAGAATTTTCTATGCGAAAGAAAGAAGTTTTTCAAAACTGAAGAAGTGCATTTTAACAAGGGAAATGCATTAGTTGAAAACCCTTAATTTCTTTCATTCCTATACCTTTGATGATCTATGGATAAGTTGGTTGGCAAAGGCTAATAGTTCTACTGGAAGTGCTAGAAGTACTGCAGCTTGGTCTCCACTCCTAGAAGGGCTCGACGCTTCAGTCAAGGAAACCCAAGCCTTTCAGGTATGGGTGGGATGTTGAGAAATGAGGAAGGCAATACTTTATCTCTTTTCTCAGGCCCAGTGGGAATAGGAGATTCTACTAGAGCTGAACTGCTAGCTGTTGTACAAGGAATTCAGAACGCAAGTCAACTTGGGGTGAACAGTTTAATTGTTGAGGGAGACTCTAAGGTGGTGATAGGGTGGCTACTGGATCCGGATTCTGCTACTTGGAAATAGAGGGAAATACTAAGAGTAGTCGTTCAAGATTCAACAGACACTTAAAAGAGAATAAGAAAAAGAATAAGAAAAGAATAAGAAAAGAAGAGAGAGAAGAGAGAGAGAGAGAGAGAGAGAGAGATTTTGAGAAAAGAGAGAGTTGGTTGTTTTTGAAACAGCTGCCCCACTCTTAAATTTATATACATAGTATCACACTTATAAAAGGACTGAATTGCTTACATGGCAAGATAAGATAAAGCTGAAATCATAAAAGACTAATCCTAATCTTGTCATAAAAGACTAATCTTAATCATAACTTATTGCTGACATACGAACAGTGGGGCCCACATTAGTGTTCTCTACACTCCCCCTCAAGTCGGGAATAGATGTTTGTCATTCCCAACTTGCATAAATCTACCTCTAACTTCTTCCTTGAAACCGCCTTGGTGAGAAGGTCTGCTAGCTGCATGTCGGAGGTGATGTATGGAAGGCATACTTCTTGAGATATAACCCTCTCTCTGATAAAATGTCGATCCATTTCAATATGCTTAGTTTTGTTGTGTTGTACCGGATTATGGGCTATATTGATGGCAACTTGATTATCACAGTACAACATCAAGGGTTTCTCATAAACAATACCTAACTCCTCAAATAATGATCTCAACCATAGAATCTCAGCTACACCATTTTCCATGGACCTATTTTCAGCTTCAGCATTGAAACAAGAAACAACATTTTGTTTCTTACTCCTCCAAGAGACAAGATTACCTCCTACAAAAGCACAATATCTAGAGGTAGATCTTCGATCATCAACACACCCAGCCCAATCAGCATCTGTGTAAACTTCTATTTTCATGTGATCATTATTCTTGAACAAAATGCATCTGCCTGGGCACCTCTTCAAATATGCTAGTATCCTCTCAACTGCAAGGAGGTGAGTAGTCCTAAGAGAGTGCATATACTGACTAACCACATTGACTGCATAACTGATGTCGGGTCGAGTGAGACAAAGCTAGAGAAGTTTTCCAACTAACCATTGGAACATAGATTTATCTTTTCAGGCTTTGAAGAGTTTGTTTCCCAGTTTATTTGAATCTATCCAAATGTCTAGTTTGAAATGTGAGAGTTGTGAACTTGCAAAACACTGCAGGACAACCTATTCACTAAGTAATAATAGAAGTAATATTTCCTTTAAAATTGTGCATACTAATGTTTGGGGACCTTACCAAAAAAAAAATTTATATAGTCGTACCTCACAAATTAAGCTATCCTTGCTACTGGCCTCAAGGAATAAGACCTTACCCAAAAATTTTTGAAAAAAAACTGATCTTGATTCAAAAATCTTCCTGAAATTCTGATCGCCAACTTCAGTTTTGCTCAAAACTGATCTTGATTCTGATCAACCCCAGAAACTTCTGAAAACAGAACTGATCTTTGAGAAAATCTTCTTTGAAAACTTCAATCTTGATGAGAGAACCAAAAAATCTGATCGGCACCTCCAATCTTGATCAAAGACCTAACCTTGATCACTTAATTCTTCTCTGATTCTTCCTAATTACAAGGAGCATTTTCCAATCCTTTGACAGTTGCTGAAGACTTCTTGTAATCTCCAAGAATCAGTCGAATGAAAAAATCTTTCAGCCCTAAATAATTCTCATGTGGTCGGCTGAATTAATTCAACATGAGAAATCCTAGATCGAATGCTCTAATACCAAGTAGCCGTTCAAGATTGAACAGACACTTAAAAGAGAAGAAGAAAAAGAATAAGAAAAGAAGAGGGAGGAGAGAGAGAGAGAGAGAGAGAGAGAGAGAGAGAGAGAGAGAGAGAGATTTTGAGAAAAGAGAGAGTTGGTTGTTTTTGAAACAACTGCCCCACTCTTAAATTTATATACATATTATCACACTTATAAAAAGACGGGATTGCTTACATGGCAAGATAAGATAAAGCTGAAATCATAAAAGACTAATCCTAATCATAACTTATTGTTGACATACGAACAGTGGGGTCCACATTAGTGTTCTCTACACTAAGGAAAGTTAAGTGGCTGACAAGTAACAATAACAACCAGAATACAATGGGAGCAGATCAGCCAATGCTATGTCTGATGTCTTAGCCAAACAAGGGGCTTCTATGGAATTTCTTTTTGTAGCTGAGTTGTAATTCCTCTTCTTTGATTTCTTGGGCTCAAGGGTGTGGCAGCATCTCACCCCCCCCCCCCCCCCCCCCCCCCCCCCCCCCCCCCCCCCCCCCCCCCCCCCCCCCCGCCCCCCCCCCCCCCCCCCCCCCCCCCCCCGCACCCCCCAAGGAAGCATGTAGTCATCTAGTGGATTTTGGGAGAGAAAAAGGTTTCAAAAAGGTATACTGATATCATTAGGTATATGTATAAAAGGAACATAATCAAAGTAAGAAGTAAGAAATTAGGAAGAGGAAACAAGAGGCGTTCCAATAATAATATGCACCAATAGTTAGCATTAAGTCTATATCTTCTTGTATTAGTTATGGATTAATTGACTAGACCTTTACAAGAGGAAGTTCCATAGTATATGTTGTTTGTTAATGATATAATAATTGAATAATAAGACTAAAATGAGCTAAATACAAAATAAAACAATGAAGAGATGATTTACAATCAAGTTTCAACACAAGTTAGACAATGACAAAATACATGTATTACATTTCAGTACAAATAATAGTAATAACAGTGGTGAAATTAAATTTATGATTAAAAGATATCCCAAATCAACCACTTCCAGTACCTTAGATCATCATCTATAATGAGGGAGAAATTGAAGAGTATGTTGCCCACAAAATTAGAACAGGGTGGTTTTAGTAGAGAGATGCATGTGTGACCAGAGTATACTAATAAGACTAAAAGGAAAGTTTTAGAAGACTGCTTTAGACCAGTATCATTATATGGACAAACTGTAGGACAATACAAGAAACAACATGTTTAAATAATGAGTGTAGCTAAAATGACAATATTGAGATGGTTTTTAAGAAAATATAACATAGTTTTATTAATAAAAGAGATTACACATGAATCAAACTATCACTATATAAGACATCCAAATGGGCACCTATTTTAGCTAGACCATCTGCAACAGAGTTTAAATCCCTTGGAACCCAAATCAAATTTGCATATAGCGGTTCCAAAGAGTCTCTAGCTTCTGTCAAGAAATGGTTTAACCTCCACGGGCCACTTTCTTTGTCTCTTAGCCATTTAATAGTATTTGTTGAATCTCCTGCAGTGGTTAAACATTGAATGCCCAGGGTTCTTACTATTCTGATTCCTGTAAGATCTGCTAACACTTCTGCCTTGGTGGAGTAAGTGACACCTATTGGACCACTAAAAGTCCAGATAACAGAACCCCTTCTGTCTCTTAATATGCCTCCTATGCCAGATGCTCCTGGATTACCTGATGTGCTCCCGTCAAAGTTTAAAATAATCCCTCCTTCCCTTCTTATTATTAAACCACGGGGTCAGCAAGGGGGGGATGCCGAGTGAAAGAGAAAAAACTGAGCACTTCTGTTTAGGTCACTTACTGAGAGTCCTCTAAAAAGATAAGAATTGATGGCCCAAAGGTTACAATGATAAGTGATTTGAGAGACTAGTTCCTTGTGAGTTTTTGTCTTGTTATTAAATAAACGGTTGTTCCTTTCTTCCCAAACAACCCACATCACTGCATGTAGGATTGTTTGCAATAGGTTTTACCTCTTTTACTTAACCCTCTGCCTTGCCATTGTTGAATGAAATCCTGAATATTTTCCAGGGCAGCCTAGCTATAACCAGCCAACTCCAGGAAGTGGTGCCAAATTTTCTTGGTTTCCTTGCAGTGAAGAAGTGATTGGCTGATTCTCCTTCATTCAAGCACAAGATACAAGCATAAGGGGAGATGAAGAGTCTTCCCAAGATTTTCTTTTGGAGAAGGTCACAAGTGTTGATCCTTTGCAAGCAGGCTTCCCATACAAAGAAGCAAACTCTTGAGGAGATGTGGCTGTACCAAACCTTCTTGCAAGGGAAAGAGGAGATCTGTTCACCTGCAGTCAAAACCTTGTAAAAAAACTTGGAAGAAAGTTCACCATTTGGATGGGGGGACCAAATTCTTGAGTCTTGGGAGTTAGGTGAGATATAAACCTCCTTTAGAGCTTGGAGGAGGTCTGTTACTTCAGTTATCTCTGGGTCTCTTAGGGGTCTTCTAATGCCTAGGTTTATGGTATTCTTGCATTGAGAGGCAGGAATGCAAGAAGAAATGGATGCATCTTGATCTAGGGTAAGGTTTAAAAGTTTGGGGAAAGAGGAGGCTAGGGTGGAGTTGCCCCTCCACAATATTGAGATGGATAAGTGACAAGGCTAAAACGATAACAATGTGCATCAAAGAGGACCTCTTTTTTTATCAGCAACAGTGCAACACAAAGAATTTTATTAAAGCTTAATGAAAAAGGGATTACAACAAGAGGTGGTTAGAAGCAAAATCCTTTACAACAAAACAATCCACCACCCTATTAACATTGAGCCCAATACAAATGATGTCTATGTAAAAAAAGTTTAACCATCCATTTTTTTGATCCCATGGGCTAAGATTGCATCAAAGGACTTAGAAATAGGCCCAATTGATGGCAAGATTAAAGAAAGTCAACTGAGATGGTTCAATCATGTACACAGACAACTAATGATTACACCAATGAGGAATGACTTGGCACTAGTGGTAGGGTCTAAAAGAACAAGGGAGAGACCAAAGAACACATGGGATGAAGTAGTAAAAAGTAATGCAAGGAACTAAGATTTGACAGAAAACATGGCTCTTGACAAAGCACAATGGAAGGTAAGCATTCATATAATAGACACCAAAATGTTGAGATTAAGATTTTAGTTGAGTTAAGAAACAAGTGGCAGAAAATAAGGAGCCACACCCTGCTAAGTCCCATGCCTTGTACACCAAGCACTACAAAAAATAAACCACTGCCCATGCCCAACTACTTAACCCCAACCAACAAAAAGTGAAATAGCCCCAAGAAGAACCCTAATTGAAACAAAAAGACAGATCCCCACAGCTCCCAAGAATCAAACCCAAGGACCTCCAATCATTCCATGACATATCAAAATTTGCTTCTACCACCTCTACTGATACCCCTGGTATTCTTTGTCTCCCTTCTCTCAAGTTTTCTTCTACTCTTCCCCAAAACATCCTGGCTTCCAGAACATCTCACCTTAAAAGATTCCAGACCTCCTTGGAGATAGTTTCGGTCTCCTTAACCAAATATATGACCTATGACCGGAAAACTGTCTTCTTAGCTTTGGGCAACTCCCTACATCTTTCTTCCGACTTCTTAATCATGAAGCAAAGTTTTCTCCTACCACAAAATAATGACCTCAAATGTTTTGCCACTTGAAAAGATCTCTCCAGTCTCTACCACTTTTTCAGAGAGGATTTGATTGCCAAGAGCGAGAGTTTGATCGAAATGAACATCCTCGTCAACAAGGTCACACAAGGGTTGCGAAGCACGCTTCCTTCCTCATCCATAACAACGGTAGACTCTGCTTCAACTTTAGCTCCTCATATATGTGGTTACTGTGGACTACCAGTGACTTACTTAGATGCAACGCCATCCATGCACCCCAATTCCAGTTACAAATTTACCGTGAGTTGGTTGTTCGTCGGAGACAATAATTTTACTAGGAATTCATTGATCCCTACAGCCTCTACTATCGGCAAGAGACTGCACCCTGAGCAGGTTTAAGGTCACGTAATAGGTTCACATATCCTCTCTCTTCTCACCAATTTATCTAATTAGAAAGACAAAATAAAGAAAGAAAACCCTCTGAATTATCAAATACGTTTAATAATTACGTTATAGATCCTACATCATTACAAAGTGTCAACAATTGGCACCGAATCAAAACAAACAGGAGCTGAAAGGCTTGCAGTTGCAGAAACTCCAAAGAAAAAGAAAAAAAGAACATATTTTTTTACAAAAGTGGTCGTACAATGAGAGTGGTTCGTTAGTACCTGGAGGCGATCGAACTCCTGCTTGAGCAACTCTGGCACCCGGAGCTTCTCCTTCAGTCGAGTGATTGCTTCGGAGCAGTACTGTAACTGCTCAGGCGACAAGGAGAGTCTGGGCGGAGGATCAGAGGAGAACTCGAAGGGCTTGTGAGAAGAAGAAGAAGAAGGAGACGAAGAAGACAAGGTTGGAGGTTTCCCTCCGGAAGCTGCAGCCATTGCCGACCTTCGGCTGCGACCGCGAGAACTCACGGAATTTCCCGTCGCTTTGAAGTGACAAAGATTTTTGCTTTTTTTCTGTTCCTCCACTCTCTCTCTCTCTCTCCCCCACCAACAGGTTCTCATAATAATTGGAGCCTTGGAGGAGAATACGGTTTGTTTAGTGCTGTGCGCAATTTGCGACTAGTGCCGGGTTGGCCAGTGACCTGGCTAGAGCAGACCGAGTCATGGGCGGCCGGGCTGCAATGTTTTACTTTTAACCGTCTTCATTCGACCGGTCGGGTTCTGAGTTTGAGTTGCAAGGAGCCAAGGCTGCGGCTTCTAAACGGCCCGTTTGAGAGATTTGCTGAAGGTTCAGCTGTGCGCTGGTTAAGCTTTTTTGAAGTGCTTCAAATAAGCTATTTAGCGCGCAGTTCAGTATAGGTTTGTGAGGGATGAAGCAAGGAAAATTTTGGCCATTTGGAAAAAACAGCCTGAGCTGTTTTAGAGCTCCCTGTACATGGCACGTTACCTGTCTTAGATTTTTTTGTCTTCTTTAACTAAAAGAAGAATATAGATTGAAAGTATTCCTTTATCCACGCTGATGATAATGTGTAATGTGGAATCTAGCTTCCCTTCCTGAGGTGGGCCTATCCTATGGACAGACCGAGAGACTATAAACCATGTTTGGTAAAAATTACAGAGCCCAAACCGTCTGCTAGTCAGCCACTTCAAAGCAATTGAATTAACTTATCTGAATCTTCAATGTTCAGCTCAGCCCTGAACTAGGCAATCCTTCCAATAACTAACAACTTATTTGAGCTCTCTGAATTTTTCATCAAACATAACCTATTTAGGGCCCACCTCAAATAACTAAAAGCCATTGTGGTTCAACCCTCAAACAGGAATTCTGATTAGCTGAATGCGATGGCTGTTCAATAGGTTGTGGAACCAAAGGAGCAAATTTTATGCCAGTAATAAATTCATGGGTCCCACCCACTGGCCACATTGTGTAAAAAGTGGAATTCCCGTGTATTTTATTACTGGTGTGAAACCTTATAATTGGTTCTATAACCTGCCGAACAGCCATTGCGCTCAGCTAAGCCTTGCTCTCCAAACGGGTATAGTTTTCCATCCAAAGTCCAAAGACCACAGAAACGGATAGAGATTAGACTGGATCTCTATTGTATAGCAATATTATTAATTAGTTCATAGTTTGATGATCAGTCCTAATTAATTAAAACTAATGGCAAGCCCGTGCTTATTTTGATATATATAGTGAACATAAAATTAGTTAAATGTGTGTTTATCAAAAATTCTGAAAAACAAAGTGGAACAAATATTTCTCAATTAATAAAAATTTGAAAAAGCTAACAAAAAATATTTATGAAAAAATTGCTTCTATATTTCAAAAACCTATGATAATTTTCAATTTGGTAGACCCATACCGTAGAAAAAAATTTCAAGTAAAAAAAGAAAAAAAAAGGCATTATAAAACAAAAAAAAAAACTAATTAATTAAGATAAGTCATTCAAAGGAAGAATCCACACTAGACAGTTCTGCATCAAGATTCTCACGGACCCTTTGAATATGTGCTCTTAACCTATCAATTCGATTAGCATCAGCATGTCAAGAAAATTCAACGAACATTACATACAAGAAGCAGGGTGTATAAAGTAATCAATTCAACTCAGCTTCAATTATTTGGATTAGCTACATGAATGTTGTCCTAATCTATCAAGAGTCATGTTTCTATCAAATTAGTGTGCATAAAGTGATTAAGTAAAACAAAACAAAACATCTTGAGGCCATAGGCCTAACCCAGAATTTAGAAGAAGATTACAAAGAGACAATGTTATTTAACCATGGAAATAAACATAATTCAGTACATCTTATAATGTTTATTGCTTATAGCTCAACCCTTAATCATTACCATTGTCATTGCCTTGTAATGGATTGTCATATGTTGTAGATCACATGAAAACCCCCATGAAAGTAATGAAGGGCATTTGTATATCTAATAAATCCTACATTCTCCACAATAGAAAGGGATATTCATACATTATAATCATATTTGTAAGTTCTCTTCTTCTAATGTTCTAATCAAATCAATGTAGTTACATCTACTTTGGTGTTGGTGAAGTTGTTTGCTAAACCAACCACTCTACATCTTAGGCACCTATTCAAATGATCATTAAAATGTTTTTCGCCACTATTTGAAGTTCCCCCAAGTAATTTACTACAATAATTACATTGTGCCTTGTCTTCACCATTCACTTTTTCTTTTTAAAGTGTTCCTACACAATACTTTTAAATCTTTTGCTCTTCAAGGTGTAAACACTTCTGTCTTCCATTGTCATTCTTTCTATATGGACGGATTTGAGCTTTCATTTGGTGTATTTAGTCCAAAGTTATCAGTTAATGTTTTGATGGATTGAAATTATCACCAGTATAGAATTGGCAAATGAATAAAAATAAATAATACAGATGAACCATGATAGCATTTATATGCACACAAAGAGAAAAGCCAAGGCTAACTTTTCATGATAAAATTGCTAAAATAGTTGTTTTACATGGGGAGAATTCATTTCATCATATATAATATTGAAGGGATGAGAGATCCATTATATGGGTGACTGAACCCTATAGGTAGGTTGGGTGAAATTTCAAAAAATTTCTCTCTCCCATGTGGGAATCACATTCCCTATTTTAGAAAACTGTATTTTTAATGATCAATCTTGAATCTAAACCGAACCAGATCTGAAACCAAAAGGTAAGGGAGGGATATACCTGATACAGAGTAACAGTAACTTCCAACGAAGGTGTTCACGCCCAAGGAGATTACCAAATACTACTCCCACTGAAGATGACACAGCGTAGAGTGGAGCAGAATCAGCATGGTGGCTCTTCAGTAAGAACCTGATTCTTCACCAAGAACCTGATGGAGGGAAAGTGAGCACAACTTCATATCACCTTTTATGCCAAAATGTGATATCAAGAACCCTTCTTGATCGCTCGTATAGGTGGAGATCGAACTGGTAATGGCGCCAATAGTAGGAGAAGGTAAGAGCAGAAGATGGCGTTAGTCTAACTGTATGTTGTCTTCTCTCTTGTATCAGTAATCTGATTGATGAATTGGGGTTCGCCCTCCTCCTCTATTTATAGCCTTAAAGAGAGGTTCTCTTAATCCAAATATTGTATTTGGATGTGGACTCTCTTTAAGAGATAAAGATAATCCCTTATCTTATCTGCAGATAAAGATCAACCCTCTTAATCTAATTAGAAGTTTCCTGATCCAATTCTTTATTTGGATCTGGACTCTCTGAGTGGATAGGGGCAACCCCTTATCCTATCTGTTGATGTAAATCCCAGAACTGCCCCTCTTTAATTAATTTAATTAAGCCTGTTCGAATTGGGCTTTAGGCCCATTAAGTCTGTGTGCTCACTTATCCTCCAAACTGCTGCCCAATTAGATATCCTTGTATGGCGTGGGACCCAAACATTGATCTACACATCAGCCACATGGGTTCAACCCAGCCTCTGTTACAAGGCCTGGCCGAATTCACTGTAGGAGACAGTGAACCCCTAAGTCCATCACCATGGGCTTTTAATGGGCCCAATATTTACACTAAATGGTCCTTGGGTCAAGCCACCTTATAAAAAC